GTTCTTATTTTTCAAAGTTTTTCACTTTTCAGTCATTTGTAGGAATTATTTATTTAAATATCATAAAACATGTTATCAATTAATATTCATAGAGATATAATTTAATAAGATACTACTATAAATAAATTATTTAAACGCAAAACAGTATATTGAATGAAGAGATAAAAATAAAGATTGATATAATTACTTAAAGAAAACTAATTTTACACAACATTCTTTATAATTCAACAAGGATATTTTTTAAAGATTTAATTAATTAATTACTAATTATAAGCGGGATTAGTCTTAAAATTATGATTAATAGTTTTCTAAAATTAGTTTATTAATAGGAAAAGATACAATTAATAACAAGAATAAGAAAAAGACAAATCAAGAATTTAAAAATAAAGTCAATCTTAACAATAATCTAAACTACAAAGTTTACACATTAAGATTGGATGATTTTAAAAATTACTCTACTCTATTCTTGTATTTATTTTCATTAACCTTTTATTAAGAAATTACCTTAAATTTATATTAACTATTACAAAGATTGGATTTATTTTATAAATTTACATTATGGATAATCTTAAAATTATGAAAATTTTTTTTCTCCATCACTATAGGATTAGGATGATAAATTTTAGAACTATCTAAATCGATAAAAAGTATGAAATTAAAGATATTAATCATTGGCCACACATAAATGATTGCGAATATTTTTTTATATTACAAACTAATTATTCACTAATATACTTTAATTTTATGCAAATATATTATGAAGCAATCTTGAAGACATATAAATGTAAACAATTATATCCTTATTTATAGTAAAAAATTATATGATTAATTGTTCCTTAGAACATTTTAGGAGGAAAAAAAAGTCAGCAGACTTTACTTTTTAATATAAATCACAGTTTAACTCACTCAAATATTTTTTTGTATCGTTTTTCTTTTTAGTTTTAACTTCAATCAAGGACACGAAATTAATTACCTATCTACAATAAAAAGTACAATAGCTTCAGTTTTAAGGATACCAAATATATGGAAATTTTTCTATTCTTATTTATCATTTATAATATTAAATTCAAAGATGATATTTAGAATATAATTTAAAATGAAAGTACTTTTACATAGGTGTACTCATATAAAGTAAAAAAACTATTTTAAATGATAAATCAAAGTCTGGGTTTAATAAAAGTTAAAATATAAGATTTATAAATAAAAATCAAGTTGAAATTATTTTCATCATAAATTCACTATATTTATATTAATAAGTCACCAATTAGAACTGAGAAACTGATAAAAATGAAGAAAATAAGAATTTATCTTGATTACTCAAAAGTTGTAATTGTTATTCACATCTTATATATGATCAAAAGAGTCAAATTATTTAATAATGTGAGATTCTTCAAAATGTTGAGATTTATTTAGCTTTTTCCAAAATTTTCTTTGATTTTACTAATCAAAAATTGGAATGCTTTCAATTATACCCCTAATGATAGTACAAAAATATGGATTCAACCCAGAATAATTTTGTTATCTTCCAAAAAAATTATTCAAAATCCTAAATATATGCTAAAGAGCTTAATGTAACTAACAATAAATTGTATGAGATAATTAAATCCTTTTAATAGTTTACCATTATTATAAATTAACACTCATTGTATTAAACAAGTTGCTGATATCAATATTAATTAGAGTACTTCTGAATCTTAAATATAGAATAAAAAGCCCAACAATAGAATTTATCTTTACAAACAAAAAATTTAAAATATTCTTTATTTTTGTAAGATTTGGTTTTAATTGTATTAAAAATGATATAAAAATAACCAAAAAGTATGGATAAGGATAATATCATTTACATTAAATCTCTTATGTTCGATATATCAAAAGAATGTATAAATAAAAAAATCTGAACAATAAGATCCCAACCATTAATCAAAAAATTTATTAAATCCCTTTAAAATGTAATAATTTTTCTTATTTCATTTAATTTTTGCAAAAAAAAATAAATAATTTATTACTAAATTTG